AAAACAGACTAATATAGTAAATTGGTACCAGGAGTGGGATTTGTTGCTGAAAAGATACCCAAAAATGTGTGAGTGATTTTGGAATTGGGTAACAGTTCCAAAAGTCAGAAGTTGGAACAGTTTGGAGGGCTCAGAAGAAGATAGGAAAATGTGGGAAAGTTTAGAACCTCCTAGAGACTTGTTGAAAGGCTCTGACAAATATGCTGATAGTGATATGAAAAATAAGGTCCAGGCTAAGGTGGTCTCAGATGGAGATGAGAAATTATCTCCTAATATTTCAGTCTAATGCCTAAGTATCCTTGTGCAAACTGGAGCAAAGGTGATTCTTGTTATGTTTTAGCAAAGAGACTGGCAGCATTTTGCCCCTGCCCTAGAGATTTTTGAGAGAGATGATTTACAGTATCTGGTGGAAAAAAATTCTAAGCAGCAAAGTATTCAAAAGGGGGCTTGGGTGCTATTAAAAGCATTCCATTTTAAAAGAGAAACAGCATAAAAGTTCAGAAAATTTGCAGCCTGGCAATGTAGCAGAAATGAAAAACCCTTTTTCTGAGGAGAAATTCAATCTGGTTGCAGATATTTGCATAAGTAACAAGGAGCTGAATGTTAATCCCCTAGACAATGGAGAAAATGTCTCCAGGGCATGTCACAGGTCTTCATGGCAGTCCCTCCCATAACAGACCCAGAAGCCTAGGAGGAAAAAAATGGCTTTGTGGACCAGGCCCACAGTTTCCACACTGTGTGCAGCATAGGGACTTGGTACCCTGCATCTCAGCCACTCCAGCCATTGCTAAAAGGGACCAAGGTAAAACTCGGCCCGTGGTTTCAGAGGGTGCAAGCCCTAAACCTTGGCAGTTTCCACATGGTGTTGAGCCTGAGGGTGCACAGAAGTCAAGAACTAAGGTTTGGAACCTCTGCCTAGATTTCAGAAGATGTATGGAAACACCTGGATGCCCAGGCAGAAGTTTACTGCAGGGGTGGGGCCCTCATGGAGAACTTCTGCTAGGGCAGCACAGAAGGGAAATGTGGGGTTGACGGCCCCCCCCAGTGTCTCTACTGGGGCACCAGTTAGTGGAGCTGTGAGAAGGGGGCCACTGTCCTCCAGACCCCAAAATGGTAGATCCACCAGCTTGCACCATGTGCCTGGTAAAGCCGCACTCAATGCCAGCCTGTGAAAGCAGCCAGCAGGGAGGCTATACCCTGCAAAGCCACAGTGAGGGAGCTGCCCAAGACCATGGGAACCCACCTCTCACATCAGCGTGACCTGTGTGAGACCTGGAATGAAGGGATATCATTTTGGAGCTTTAAAATTTGACTGCCCCACTGGATTTTGGACTTGCATGGACCCTGCAACCACTTTGTTTTGGCCAATTTCTCCCATTTGGAATGGCTGCACCCCTGTTGTATCTAGGCTGCACCCAATATCTGCACCCCCATTGTATCTAGGAAATAAAGTTTGCTTTTGATTTTACAGACTCATAGGCAGAAGGGACTTGCCTTGTCACAGATGAGACTTTGGACTGTGGACTTTTGGATGCCGAAATGAGTTAAGACTTTGTGGGACTGTTAGGAAGGCATGATTGGTTTTGAAATGTGAGGAGATGAGATTGGAGGGACAATGGGCAGAATGATATGGTTTGGCTCTGTGTCCCCACCCAAATCTCATCTTGATTGTACTCCCGTAATTCCCACATGTTGTGGGAAGGACCTGGTGGGAGATCATTTGAATCATGGGCGCTGTTTCCCCCATACTGTTCTTGTGGTAGTGAATAAGTCTCACAAGATCTGTTGGTTTTATCAGGGGTATCCACTTTTTCATCTTTCTCATTTTCTCCTGCCTCCACCATGTAAGAAGTGCCTTTCACCTCCTGCCATGATTCTGAGGGCTCCCAGCCATGTGGAACTGTAAGTCCAATTAAATCTCTTTTTCTTCCCAGTCTTGACTATGTCTTTATCAGCAGCGTGAAAACAGACTAATACACTGCCTCATAACTAACTCTCTTTTATTTAACTTTTGTATTTATATATTCATATTCAATATTCAAAAAACTGCCATGAACCAACCACTTAACACAATTGACTAATGTAGTAGCTTTAAAATTTGACTCCCCCACTGGATATCAGACTTGCATGGGCCAGTAGCCACATGTGACTATTTAAATTTAAATTAATAAAAATTAAGTAATATTAAAAATTCAGTTACTCATGAACACCAGCCACACTTCAAGGACTCAATAATCACATGGGACTAGTAGCTACAATACTGTACAGAACAGATTACAGAACATTTCCATCACTGCAGAAAGTTCTATTTGGGACGGGCATGGTGGCTCACACCTGTAATCCCAGCACTTTGGGAGCCAAGGCTGGTGGATTGCTTGGGCCTAGGAGTTCACGACCAGCCTGGACATGGGGAAACCCTGTCTCTACAAAAAATACAAAAATTAGCTGGGTGTGGTGGTGCACACCTGTAGTCCTAGCTACCCAGGAGGCTGGGGTGGGAGGATCACCTGAGCCCAGGGAGGTCTAGCCTGGGTAACAGAGTGAGACCTGTCTCAAGGCAAAAAAAAAAAAGAAAGTTCCATTGGACAATACTAGAAAATACACTTAGGTTATATTCTAGAACTTTTTCTAATGAACCTAATTGGATTAATCATTATCTCTGCTTCATGAAACATCACTGGTTTATGCTGACACTTTTTTATCTGATTTGATCATTTCTAAAGAAATTGTAATGAGCAACCATAAATCCAATCTCTTACTCCACTAATAGAACACTGACATCATCTTTCATCTCTTTGTGTGCTCCTTGGTCAGAGTAAACAGCCCAGATTTCTATTTATGGGCAAACGTGTAAATAAACTATGTACATGTACAAAATGAAATGCGAAACAGCTGGTAAAGGAAGTTAAACGAGGTAGGTTATTTGTATGGCAGTCATAATTTAATTAACTATAATCCTTTCATTCTTGGACCATTCTCATCGCCAGTCCATGTTTTGGCCTTTTGTTTATTTTACACACTTATGTAATTATTTATTTATTTTTAGTACTAAAATCAACATCCAACATGCCACCATGCAAAAACAAGAATATTAACTCTTTAACCAACGCACTTTTAAAGGGGTCTTGGATGAACTGAATTGGAATAATCACAATTCTAGGATAATGAGTGTTGTACTTTCCTCTAACATGGTCTTGAGGTCTGTCTCAAGAGAGTGAATATAAATTCTAGCTCTGCCTGATGGGGATCCAGGAGGGGTGGTCATAGGTGTTTACAGTGTGTCTTTTACGGGATATGTCTTTATCCCAGCAGACAGTCTAATGTCTAAGTATCCTATCTGTTACCAGGTGTCCCTCTCACAGGAAACTTATTTACACTGACAGTCCCCCTGTGGTTCTTGTCTGACCTATGTCCAGTCTATTCCTACCAAGGTAGCTGCTCTCTAGGAGATCCCTGACCAGGAAAGAAGTTTGATAGAAGTGTGTTGGTCAGGTGAGACACAGAGGAAGCAACTCAACAAAACCCTTGAAATGAAACAACAGAAGCAGTTTATTACTTACAGATCCTGCATGCCTCACAGGACCAGTGGGAAGGGAAAAGCCTGTATTGCAGGCTATGGCATTTCCCAAGCAGGTTTCCTGCAGAGAGTTCTCTTGCTCTATATTTAGAGCAAGCCAGTATAACTGTGTGGTCCACATAGACTGTGGGGTCAGTGTATCTAGCTGTTCCTTAGGAAGGTAGTATCCTGGAGGTGGCTGTACAAGGCAGTTATCTGGATCTATCACATTAAGAACTGGGAGGAGGTGGAGAACTACAAACTGTGTCAAGGGTGACTAAGCCTGCTTCTGGAATGAGAAAGTTAAACTTAGGTTCGAAATGCATGCTGAAGCTACATACAATAAAAAAAAATTACGACAATGAGATATGATCACCTTTGTCCCATGTTTGCTCTCTCTTGTTTTATTCATGTGTTTGTTCATTCATTCATTTACTTATTTATGAACACCTTGAACAACTCTCCAGCCAAGATTTAAGAACATCAACTATTAATTACATTTTCTTTAAGTACCTTATCTACCCAAGTAAGAATAAAAATTCTCATAAATGTTGCACGACTACATAAACCACGATTTGTCCATTCTGTGCAACAAACAGCAACTATTAGAAAATTAAACACCCTGGACCATTTTTAATGGCTTTACTTGTGTAGAATTTAATTAATAACCCTCACTTTACATGAAATATTATCCTCATTATCTATGCTTGGCCCTTTTAAATTTTATTTGTCACTTTAAACAAAAATCATGAAAGAACAATGATGAATCCTATTCAACAAACAGAAAACGGCCAATACCTTACCTCCCTATGTGACCCTCTGCCACCGACTTAACATCCCAAACTTCTTCAATAGGGAAGTGTTGACGCAAAAGTGTAGTGCATAAATTAATAGTGGAATGCTACTGAAATGAATGAAACAGCATAAATATTTGTGTTTTGATGTCTCTCCAATATGCAGAACTGTGCAATCATAAATCTTAGATCATGATATATTGTCTTCATTAGTCCATGCTTGGCTCTCTTTGATCTTGTTTATACATGCATCCATTTATGTTTAATTACCCCATAAACATATATAAACCCACCCCCAGCCTGAAAACACAAAACAGAATACATATTACATATGTGATATATATAGGATACATGTATAAACATAACACATGATATATGTGATATATATGTAGGATGTGTGTGTGTATATATGTGTTTTTTTTTATGTTTTTATATGCTTTTTTTTCTTTGCTCATTTGCTAGAGAACAGCCCAGTAATATTGTGTTTTAATTTGGTGACAGTTACGCTAAATGAAATTAATCACCCTTGGTTCATGACATTCTCATCATGCTTGTCATCTTTGACTTTATGTGTTGATTCACATTTAATAATGTAATAAACCATCAACCAACCACCCAACTTCAAAACAACAACACTAAACATTACTCACCTTGGTTGGTTCATGGCTTATTTTCCACAGAGGTCACAATCAAGATCTTCATCGACAACATGTCATTAATGTCACTCTGGAGCCTCCATTCTGTGGAACACAAGGCAGATACTAAAAAGGATGAAAAAAACTAGATATTTTTAATGGCCATCAGGTGAGAAGCACAGTATTAATCATAATCTTTAGTTCATGACAGTCTCACCACTGGCCCAATCACAGCTCTCCTTGTATTCAATTATTCATTTATTAATTTGTATTATTACAACGAGTATGTATTAATTCACCACTCTAATCAAAAACAAGAATCATGACTATCACAAACATCGGTCCCTACGCATCTTACCCAAGAAGGAGCCAACTCAGATATTCTTCCTAACAGACGTAGATGATGCAGACTTGGAGTAACAATCATATTTGACTCCTGCTCACCCTTTTCAATCTTTTCACTTATTTTTTTAAACACAGTAAACACAGATGAACCCACCACTGATCCAGAACAAAAATATTGATTAGTACATCCAAATACTTCTTATCCACTAACATAAAAGTCTTGTTTTATTTTAAATAGTCCATAATTGTACATAAGTGGATGAATCTTAATCTTTAGGTCATAAAACATTGTCTTTGTGGTCCATTCTTGACATTCTTTCATTTCATCACTTTTGTACTCATTGAATTCATTTTTAACTATGCAGCCACCAGACTTGAAGTCACCATTTAGCCCAAGACCAGTGATTATTCTGTATACCTGTTGATATACTGCCTACTGTCAACCTCAACAGCCTAGAACCTGGCTTTTGTTTTGGAATAACCTCACAGAAACAGAGACTAGAAAGGTGGTTACTAGAGGTCAGGAGTGAGAGGAATCTGGAGATCTTAGAGAATGCAAACTTTCAGTTCGGAGTAAGTTCTGGTGACCCAATGCAGAGTACGGTGACTACAGTTAATAATAATGTACCACATGCTTGAAATTTGCTAAAAGAGTAGACCTTACGTGTTCTCACTGCACACACAGAAAAAGGGAACTATATGAGATGACGGATATGTTAATTTGCTTGATTATGGTAATCATTTCACAATATATATGTATATCAAAATGTCACACTGTACAACTTAAATACATACAATACAAATACATATAATATTTATTTGTCAATGATATATTTATGAAGCTGGGGAGTGAGGAACACGTTGCCATCATTGGTACATGCTTGGCTGTCTCTAGTTTTATTTGCACATTCATTCATTTTTAACTGTTCAGTCAACACCCATGAAGCCGGCTTTTATTTGTCTGCACTCACCTTCTCTGGCAGAGAAACCCCAGTGTGCCCATTCTATGGAAAATAAAGCTGGTTAAAAAAAATAAAATAGCCTTCGACGCCTTTTTTGTTTGTTAATATCAGGTTACCAGACCTGGATTAGTCATAATCCTTTGCCTAGAACACATTCTCAAAATTATTCCATTCGAGGTCTTTATTACCTTATTTCTTTATTCCTTGATTATTTTTAACAACAAAATTAATAGCCACAAACTGCTCTGATCTCTTTTTTTAATGCCCCTCAGTTGTGGAGAATTAATCACCATCCCTGGTTTACAACCCACTCCCATCCTTCCCGCTGGCATGCCTCTCTCTTATTGTATCGGTTGTTAAAACCACCCATGACAATTAACACTGGTGGTCCCCACCTCCATCCCTCCCCCTCTCATGCCCCCGCCTCCCTCTACCTTAAACAACCACTCCCAAATATTCTGGATACAATCCCTTTCCAGATATATATATATGTAAATTTACAACATATATGTAATATATGTATTCTTAAATATTTTCCATGGATCAGTGGCTTGCAGGAGTTTTCAGAGAAGGCTAAAAAGAAGGGTCAAGGGAGAGTGTGAAATATACAAGCTTGAGTTCAGAGCACACTCACGGCTGGGGGGTTGGTAAAAGCCCTCAAACCCAGATCGCTGAGCCATCTGCACCTGTGCTCACTTCATGAGTCAGTGGGCCCAACGGGTACAGCACATATGCTCACACCTCAGTCCCCACCTCCCAAATCCAGCCTCAACGCCAGACTAGCTGGGTGACATCAGGAAAACGAGCTAACGTCTCTGTGCCTGTTTCCCCATCAGCAAGATAGTCGCAGCACTAGTCCCCAAGCAAAGTAATGTTATTATTTTCACGCCAATGGCAACCAGGTTAAAAAAACAAACAAACAAAACCCTCCACCCCACGTCTGAGCCCCTCCCTCACCCAAATCTTGGCTCCCTCTGCAGCAGCGCCCGAGCTCTGGTGTTAGACAGACAGACAGACCAGGTTCCACCCCAGCAGGCACTCGTGAGCTGTGTAACTGCAGAGACGTGACCTGGCTTCTCTGTCTTGTGCCCCGACTTGTACGATTTGTAGAACGAGGAACGCAGCGCCCTCGTGGGTCCAACCGGAGGGTGACCTGAACTATCGCCCATCCCTCAAGTAGCCTGCCTTGCACACCTGCGCACACCCCGCCCTTTCCCCGTCCCATGACGCCCACCTGACTGGTTAAACAGTCCCCAGTTTGATCAAAGAAATGAATTAGCTCAATGCTCAAATCAAGTCAAGGGTTGGGACTCGGGCAGGGAATCGTTGGGGGTCTGTTCTTTTTTGGACACGGCATCAGAGCTTAAACAACTACCCTGAAAAACAGAAATCCAACTAAGGGATGCGCTTTGGAAAATGAAAATTCATTTTGTGAAATCGGACTGCCCTTGGAGAAGTCTATGCGTGAGATTCTTGATGTTCAAACTTGATTCCAAGAAACCAAAAGAGGCTTCACTACGGGCCTTCGCAATGATACACAGCCAGTTTCCTTCCTATCCCCGAAGCCTGTCCTGGGTGTGCACCATCTGCCACAACTGGCCTCGGAGCAACTCAGGGACCTGAAAATAATTCTATATATTATATAGCGTTATGGTATACGTATATAATGTCATATACACATCAATCTGTCCGTTGGGGGACTTTCATGAGAGAGTCGTGGGAAGACCACCAGTGTGGCGCCCTGCTCCTGCCTTTTTCATACTGTGGGGCCTTGGGGAAAACCTGTCCCCTTCCTGAGCCTCAGGTGGCGATCATCCCACCAGCCTTTCCTCCCTCCTAAGTGGTGTGAAAATGAAAAGCATAACATTTTAAGTGCAAGTTCCCTCCAAGCAGCAGGGATCATTAATATTGTACCTCCTGTACCCAGCACGCAGTGTTCACAGCATGCCTCAGCATACATTATCTCGTTTGATTCTCACAACAGGCCTGTGAATTAGACATAATAATCATAATTAGCCAATATTTATTGAATGCATACTCTGTACCAAGCACCATGCTGCCTACTTTGCATACATTGACACTCCTCTGGAGTAGACATGATTCAATAGGATCTCATAAATTTTTCCCCCAAAATTTTTGAGCATGTGCTTTGTACCGGTGCTGGGTCTAAGTGCCGGGGATACAGTAGTGAACGAAACGGACAGATCCCCATCCCATGAGAATTAACATCCCTGTGGGTGGAGATAGGAACAGAAAATCATCAGAAAAGGTAAAGCCTAATGCATGGAATAAAAGACGGTGATAAGAACTAGGGAAGAAAATAAAGCAGGACAGGGGCAGGGAGTGACACGAGGGAGGAAGCCTCACGGAGATGATGATATTTGAGCGAAGCATTACTAGTCCTATTTTATACCTAAGGAATCTGAGACTCAGAGAAGTTAGATGACTTATAAGTGGTCACACAGCAAGGAGATGCTGAGGCGGGAGGCGAACCCAGAACCCAGGCAGCGTCGCTCCGGAGTCAGCCTTCCCACTTCTTCCCGACGCCTCATTTTGGCAACAGTGACCCACTGCCAGCCGGCAATGTGAGTGTGAGAATAAATCACATTGTGGGGGGTGGGGCTGCAAAGGTTTTTCTGACCTCCCACACAGGAAGCAGAGGTTATCCCCAGGATGTACCATTAGACCTGGATGAATAAATAAACTGTCCATCTTGGAGGAGCTGCCGGGGCAACATTTCTTACAGGACTTCACAGAATCTGCAGTCAGGCAATGCTGGGATCACAGCTTAGACTCAACACAGCCCAGCAAGTCAGCACCAATGCTAGACCCATCTCCTCCCACCTGGCTGTTAGGGCATCCGATTGCACCCCGCCAGAGGCACCCCATGTGCAGCCACATGCCACCTAGGCTCAAGTTACAGATGTGCTGCCCCAGGAATGGAAGGAGGCTTCCCAGTCCTCATGCCTCACATGGTAAGAGACTCCGAATTTTTCCAACTGGCCACCTCCAAAAGAGCAAGTCAAGAAACATTTCTAAAGTGACTGTTCCTCTCCCAAAAAACAGGTAGGGAAAGAAGTTTAATGAAATCGTATATGAGAACTGGAGAACCTTGCTCACTACTGCTAGAAACCATGAAGTTTAATGAATTTTAACCTCAGAAACTTCGATTCACAGGACTGTAATTATTTATCTTGCCTTTTACCTACTCAGCTTCTTCCCAGCTCCCAGGCAACCCCCGTGTAAGCCCCTACACCACAAGGAAATTCCTTCACGGGAGTCTCACCTCTCTTAGGGCTTCATCTTTCCTTAGATGGATCATGCCCATTTGCTGCGCAGAACTCTCACTTCTATCACTAGCACTTGCAGTTTTAAATGAGTATTTTTGTTTCCATTTCACTGATTCATTCTCCAAAGACAAGCACACAGGCCTCTCTGAGCACCTGTTCGGCTATTGGTAAAATGTGGAGAACGATTCTTACCTGCCTGTCATCAAATGACACCTCAATAACAACACTTGTAACTACTGTAATTTTCATTGTAAGTAAATATTTATTGAATGCTCACCATCTGGAAAGCATTCTTTTTATGGTTTTTTTTTTTTTTTTTTTTGGAGACAGGGTTTCCCTCTGTCACCCAGGCTAAAGTGCAGTGGCACAATCATGGCTCACTGCAGCCTTGACCTCCCAGGCCCAAGCAATCTTCCCATCTCAGCCTCCCAGGTAACTAGGACCACAGATGTGCACCACTACACCCAGATAATTTTTAAATATTTTGTAGAGATTGAGGTCTCCCTATGTTTCTCAGGCTGGTCTCGAACTCCTGGGCTCAATGGATCCTCCCACCTCAGCCTCCCAAAGTGCTGGGATTACAGGCACAAGCCACCATGCCCAGCCTGGAATGCTCTCTTTTAAGGAATTTATATGTTTGCCTCATTTAATCCTCAAGTACTCATTAGTAAGGTACTATTGGTATTAGTAAAGTACTATTGGTAGAACTGAAGAAAACGGGGCACGGAAATTAAATACCTTGTCCAAACTCATGAAAGTAGTCAATGGCAAAGCTGAGATTGAAACCCAAGCGAGACTCCATCTCAAAAAAATAAAATAAAATAAAATAAAGAAACCCTAGCACCTAGAATGTGTGAAGCAGGGCCTAGCCCATAAGCAGGTTCTCAAAACCTATCTGCTAATATTAACCCAGGTCTGCAGCGAGGCTTACTGATTCACCATTCGGCCCTCCACCCCGTCCCCTCCCTCCCTGCCTTGCAATGGACTCATTTTTACATCTGCTACCATTAGCATTCAGTCAGAATATGAGATGCCAGGAATCTAATTTGACTTGATTAATTGTACTGTAGGATGCCAGTGATATGTGTGGCCCTTGCTTGTGTGATCATTACAAATAGAATACACTAGAGATATTACTTGGGAAATAAGCTTGGATTTGATTGGATGAGAAGTTCAGCTCACTGACAGACCAAGAGAGTGAGTCCAACATAAGACAACCCCAAGGCAGATTTCTTCAGACACGGTCATAGAGAAAAAGAGATAAACAGGTTGAGCGGATAAGTGTGGAAGGAAAGAAGACTTGAGTTCAAATCCTGGGTCTGCATTTCCTCCCTATATGATTTCGGGTAAGTCACTTACCACTCCTAAACTTCAGTTTCCTTTTCACTTAATTGAGAATGGAAATTGCTATCGTGGAGGGTGGCTGTGATGATTTAGAGGAGATAAAATTATGCCAAGTGCCAGCGAAGGGCTGAGTATGCGGTTGGGGCTTAGGGCTTAGTCATCCAGGAGAGCCAGTGGAAAGACGGATGCCTGCTATTCCCTCAGTGCTGCGTGAAAGCAGCAGACACAGAGTTGCCACTGAGCAGCTCCAGCACCACAGCTGGGACTTGGTCCCTGTAAGCTGGCGTCCCACCTGTTGTCCCAGAGCCACCTGAGCCAGTCAGTGTGCTCAGAAGCAGAACAGAAGGCAGGAGCTTCACCAGCGAGCTCCATTCAGAAGGAATCTCTCTTCAAAGATCAAGTAAGCCTTTGATCTTGGTGAGAAATTGACTATTCTCTCTCATTCCTCTCTCCTTCCACCACCTGTGCTTCAACTCACTCATCCATATAACCAGCATTCATCAGATAGCCAGTCATCTCTCCATCTATGCATGCATCTTGATGCAGGCATCCATCCCTCCCTCAGACCTGACATCCATCCTTCCACCTCTCCATTTTGCAGAGGAATCCCACAGACCTGAGTTGGAATCCTGGGTCTTGCTTCCTAGCCGATCTTGGGCAAGTCACTAACCTCTCAAAGTCCTCTAATCTGTAAAATAAAGGGAAATCAGATGTCGCCGGAGCGAGGATTTAAAGAGAGTGTAGACGTTACCAGTGTCTGGCCTCAGCAAAGTCATTACATGTTCATTCCCTCTGCTCCTGTAATCTGATTGGGATTTATGCAAGGAAAAAAACCACTGCATCTTTTGCATGACACGTTGAGAAGTGCTTTTTAGAAATTATCTGAGATATTTTAGTGGTGTGCATCCCGTAGCGGTACCCCCAGGGCTGGGCAGTGGCCAAAGCGGTTTGGGGTGGAGGTCCCCCCTGGACTCACAGTAGAGAGTGCCATCTAGTGGATAGGCACCTGCCGGGGTCCCCCGTTGGTCCCGGGTCACAACAGCTGAGGTCAGGCAGCTGAATGGCGAGCCAGGAGGGCCAAGCGAACCCAGCCCCGAGACGGTCGGTTGCCCTTTTTGGGATGTGGTGCATGTGCTGTTTTAACCACTCATGGGGCCTGGACTGCCAGGAGCCTTTTGTTTTATGGATGATAGCCAGCTACGTTTTGCCTACCCCTGCCCAACTCCCCTTTAAAGATTTCTGGGAAAAAGAATCATTCTTGCAGCTACTGTTTGCTGAGTGTCTCTGACATATTAGACATGAAGCTGGGGGCTTCAGGGGTTAATGCTCTAACCCTCTCAATGACCCAAGGAGAGACCCAGAACTTGCTCCATTTTCAGTGAGAACACTGAGGTTTGCTGAGGTTGAGTTTCTCATTTAAGGTCCAGGCAGATATTCAACCCCTAAATTTGTAGCCATACTTACCTTCTAGAGCCCCAGATCCTCTTGAAAGGGCAGGAGATAGTTTGAACACTGATTTGACCAAGCCAACTGTAAAAGAAATGTATGAGTCAATCAAGAATATCTGAATGCTGCGTAGATGTTGGATGATATTAAGCAAATGTTATTAATTTTTAACTGTAATAATGGTATTGTGGTTATATTTTTAAGAAAGAAAAGCTTATTTAGAGATACAAACTAAAAAATGCTCAGAGGAAACAAAATGGTGTCTGAAATTTGCTTGAAATAGTCCAGGGGTAGGGGCTGGGGAGTGGGCGTAGAGGCACAGTTTAGGGTTTAGACAAAATAAGAGGGGCCAGGGTTTTGAAAATTGAATAAACTGTAAAAATACATACTATTTTCTCTAATTTTATGTTGTTTGAAATGTCCCATAATAAAGGGATTTTTAAATCAACAAGTGAAAATACAGCGCAGGAGATGAAGGGCTGGATGTGGAGGGTGCATTTAAAAGAACAGAGGGGCCTGGGGTATGAGAGAAATCTTTCAGGGTAGCAGGGAACTGATTTGCAGGGGGCAAACGTCTCAAAGTGAAAAGGGAGCTAGAGGGGCTGTATCCAGAGGGAAGAGAATCATTCCACGTCGGGTGGACTGAGGACGATGTACCAGGGTGCAGAGTGCTACAGAACAAGACACCCACCAGCTGCCCAGAGACCTTCCTGCACCCCCCAGCGCTCCTCTCCCCACTCTCCCTCCCAGCCCCTGCCTCCCCAAGTCCTCCAGCTCTCTCCCTGACCCCCAGGCCCTTCCCCGACTGGAAAAGGGCCTGAGGGTACCACTCTTTAAGGCAGAGCGGCCACCTGATGAGCCCTTCCCTGGGACTCCGGTCCCAGCTTGGTTACTGGGACAACGCTGTCTCCCATTGGACATGCTTTGAAGGAAGACCCTGGAGCGGCCGGCTCAGTCATGCTGGGAAGGATTCAGCTGTCTAGCTTTCAAATGCCTTTTTTTCTTTTTTCTTTCTTTTGGGGGCGGGGGTTTATTTCTTTTGGAAAGATAAGAGTTGATGCTTTTACCCTAAAACTGTGTGCCAAGCTGCTCTGGCTATCCTCAGCCCCACTCTTCCTCGTATCTCTGTAGCCCTCCTTTCCGTCCTTCATAGGCTGCAAGCTAACTGGCGCCCGACCCCAGGTCCACACCCACCTCCAGCTACCCCCTGGTCCACCCACTACGCCCGGCCTCCTCCCCTACTCTTCTCTTTCTGGCCCCGCTGCAGAGTCTCGGGCCCCTCGGCTTCCTGGGCGCCTGGCCACCACGCAGCGCCTGGAAGTGCTCCCTCCCTCATCTCTCATTCCCCACTTTGGAAAACCGGCCACCGGACAGGACAGCTCCCGGGACAGCTCCCGCAGCCTGCTGCATTGCAGCGCAGCCGTCTGTGAGGGAGGGGCGCAACCGGCAGCCCCCGCCCCCCGGCCCCGGCCACCCCCGCCCAGCAGCCCCCAGCCCCGGCACTGCCGGCCGGCTCCCCCGCCGCACGCATCTGTCGCAGTTAAAAGCGCCGCTGCCAGAGCAAAAGCGCTGGTTCCTCTTCACTGTCCCCCTCCTCACTTTTCGGGCTCAAAAATGTGGCCCAGGCAGCCCCCTTGTGGCACGTGGGGGCGCCACAGACTCTTGGCTGGTGTCTGAGGAATTCAGACTGATTCCACCGCACCGTGAGTTGGCACAAATCTTCGGTGGCCCAACTCCTACCCGATGCAGAACTCTGTTCAGCGGCCTCTCTGAGTCGGGGGCACCTCTCCCCTCCCCTCTGCCTGTCGTCCACACCTCTCCCTTCTCCCTCCAGGAAGGAACCGAAGGAACTCTCCTGTTGAATATTGCTCTGACAAGCAGACAGGTGTCTGGCAACCGTGATTGTGGTGGTGGGGGAAGAGGGGGGCCAGGAAGGTGGTGGGAATGGGGGTTTTTCTCGAAATGATGTTTGGTTTCCATCTCTTATCTCACAGATGGGAAACCGAGGTGCGGGGAGGGCCATAGTCCCTGTCTGTGTCAGAGTCAAGGCTGGTGATACTCCTGCAAGTCCAGCCTGAGGCATTTCCCTGAGGTGCTGGGGCGCCCTTAAGACGTGCCCCCTCTTCCCCCTCCCACTTGTCCAGCCCCAACCCCTCCAGATCTGGTTCTCCCTGTCCGGAAGCCCTGAAGGGCCCCTGGATGTTCTCCGTCCTCTCTAACTCACTGTCCACACAAACAAGCCCAGCCCCCTCCGTCTCTATCTGCAATCTACTTGCAGACAGGCAGGGCCCTCTCCACATCAGGTTAATAATGCCATTTTCATAAGCCTCTGCCCATAGGTGCTACCACCTAATTTTGAATCTGCCCTTCAAACGGATTGGGCCACAGAGGAGCTGGGATCTCAAGCACCGCTGGGAGGTGCTTATAACTAATCAATCCGTCCCCTGCCCACCCACACCCCCCCAGCACTCGGCACAGCCTCGCTGAGCAGCCTTCAGCAGCAGGGTGTGGTGGGGAGCCTCAGATAGTCTGGGGTTCCATCCTGGCCCAGCCTCACACCAGCTGAGAGACGGTGAGTATAGGACTTTGCCTTTCTGTGCCTCAGTTTCCTCATCAATCTAATGGGGCTCATGAGACCAGTGTGCAGGGTTATTGCCCGGGTGAGTTCTTTGCAGACAGCCCAGTTCGGGACTTGGCTCCAAGATGGGGCTCCATAAATCTCCATGCCTGCATCCCCTCTCGATCACCTCGATTTCCAGTGACTTACTCCCTGTTTGTTTCCCCCACCAGACCGACTGAGCTTCGAGGACAGGAAGCCACCGGCATCACTTCATCCCCAGTCTCACGCTTGGGACCGGGCCCGGGGAAGGTAGGTACACTGCGGTGGCTTGGAGAATGAGTGCATGGATGGATGTCTATCCCACAGTCTATGGGATGCCTGGACCCCGCTGGGTTTCTCCTCCCCAGATCCCACCCTGTCTAAGCTGGTCCTTCAAGGAAGCCGCCGGGAAAAATGTTCCTTTATGCCTTCATGCTTTACCCCTCGTGCTGTTATATACAATGCAAATTCTCGGTCTATTAAATGCAGATGTGGGCTCTGCATGTCATTTCTGCTGCCTGCTGTATCTACTGTGAGTTCCGCAGGCCAGGGGCTGCCTCCGGCTGACTTGATTTGTGCGATTAAGCCAGCAGAGGGGACTCTGCCAGGAGAGGTTCCCGTTTGTATTGGGAGCGGGGTCTTGAAAGGCCAGGCTGTTTTTTCTCTTGCGACACTTGTTACATACCTCTCTCCCTCCCTGGGTCCCACCGTCTACTCCACAAGCATTTATGAAGTGTCTGATGTGTGCAAGCCTACACTTATCTCATTTAGTCCTCACTTCAAGCCGGTGACGGAGAAACTCTCATCTCCATTTCACGGAGGAAAAGCTGAGACTCTGAAAAGTAAAGGGAATTGTCTCGCAGCTAGAGAGCAGGGAGTCAAGCCGGTCGGTCTGGCTCGGGAGCCCCCAGCCCGGCCGCAGCTGCCTGCTGCTGCTGCTGCTACTGCAGGGCTGACCAGGGCTGGCCGGGAGGCCAGCAGCTCCTGCAGAAAAGGCAGGGGGCTGCGTAGAGAGCGTTCTCCCTGGCAACTGGAAAAGGGGCCATAGAAAACCCGAGAGGGCTTAGAAGCCACTGAACAGATAGACACGGAGCAGCTGGCCCCGGGAGGGGAGCACCACGCCCTCCCCTGGGCTTTTAGCAGAACAGCAGGGCAAAGGGCTTTGTCCCAGGTCTAAAGGAGCAGAGACGGAAGTGTTAGGACAGGTGTAGAGGCCCCCAAACCTGTTCCCACCATTGGTGGGGGTTTTGCCATTCAGCACAGAAAGGAGATGACTGAAAAGAGAGGGAGCCTGCAGCCTGCAGAGATCGGAGGGCAGAGGGGGCAAGGAGGCTGCCACACAGCCGAGGAGGCAGATGCAAAAGACAGGGGAGGGCTCCGCAAAGCAGCTCTGTGTGCGAGCCCTGAGCAGGCTGCTTGGGTAGAGAGGGAGCTCCCTGTTACAGGAGGCATCCGAGGGGAGAGAGGCAGTCCGGTGCTTGGCTGGGAGGCTGCAGCATGGCTCCCTGCCCAGGCTGGTGGCCCACATGTTTAGGCCTTTGAGAAGCTCCTACAGCACAACTCCCGAGCAGGCGAGCAGGCAAGTGAGCGAGGCAGCCAGAGGGGACCAGGCAGGGGTCAGTGTGAGACCATTTGGCCTCTCCCAAGTAGCTTGCCCTGGGCTAAATGGCAAAGGCACAGAGATGGTTGGTGGGGTGCCTCTGTCCCAATAAGGCAATGAGGGAGAGGAGCAGAGAATGGGGGTGAGTGCCCGGGGCTGGTGGGGAGAGGTGGGGACTGTCCTGTAGCCAACTCCCCTCTTGAGGGCCAGAACACCTAGAGTGGCCAAGCACCTGCCCTGGCTCCTGGGCCCACAGAGGCTGGCCTGTGTCCTCTCTGGGGCAACAGGCTGGCAGAGTGAGTGGAAGGAGCAAGGGGGTCTGGCAGGTTGAGGAGCCCTTATCTGGAGGCTGAGCAGCAACCACAGATGCAGCCAGCTGCCAGCCTGTGACTTAGATGTTCTGGGGACTCATGAAAGCTCCTCACACAGTGACTGGGCTGGGGGGCCTGCCTGCTGATGAATGCAGCCCACACTGGAGTCGGGAGCTGTCTCTCCTGGCCCATTCACAGGGGTTCAGTTCCCAGGAACTGTGGGTAGACAGAGCCTTTATCAGGGGACCTCTGCTAGACAAGCCTCTGTTTTGCAGTTTCTAAAGGAGTTTTCTTGCCTTTGTTCCCAGTGCAGGCACTCAGCATGTGCGTGTGTGTGCACATGTGTGTGCATGTGCATGTGTGCATATGGGGGATAACTGCAAGGCCAGCCAGGGCTCCTTGTCTGTGAAATGCCCAAGGTCCTCAGGGGCAGAGATGCACCTCCATGGGGCAGAAAAATTTCAAGGAGGGCAGAGTCATTCAATAATGGAGCCCATCCTCACTGCCGCCTCATTGTCCTGCTCCTGACAACCCAATCTGTCAGCCCTGGGGTCGGCACAGCTGCTCCGACCCGCCGTGGGGGGGCAGCATCGTGTTGCAGGTGGAGCACGCAGGCTAGTTTGCCTTCCTGGCTAGCAGACAGACAGACTGCCCTGGCAGCTCAGTTAGGCACTGCAAGCCCTTCGGGAAAAACTGTTTTGTTTCTCGGAGCCTCTGTTTTTGTTGGTTTTTGTTGGTGCTGTTGTTTTAACCTATTAAAGGGTTGATTTGAAGCTGCAGGTGTGAAAATGTTTGGGAGAGTGACATTTACATGTGTAACATAAACGGGGGAGGGGGCACAATGCAGGGTGCAGAACAAGAGGCACCCACATGGGAAATTCTGTGAACAGGGATTTCTGGTTCAGGAGAGCTGGTGGTGCAGAAAGGGTTCTGTAGGGCTTTGGTGTAGATGTAAAAAGCTACCAACCCAAATCCCTATTTAGAGGCAGAAGTCACAGGGTAGCAAGCCCTTTAGCCCCTGCCAGACACAGAGGGAACACTCCCCCATACTCCTTTTTGCTCTAGCTCCGTTGCACTGTGCTTGACGAAGTTAGGAAACGGGTTTCTGGCATGAAGCACAGGGTTAAACTGCAGAGACCTGGACAGCTCTACCTACGGCCGCAGAGAAATAGCCCCGGTGTCAGACATGTGGCTGACCAGGCTCACGCTCCTGAGTAAACAAATCAAAAATTTCGGAGAGTGGAGCCTTTGTTCACAGTGGCCGAGGAGGTTCCCTTTTGTGTAAAAGGCAACGTGCAAGTCATACTTCCACTAGGTAAGGCTGTACCGACACACAAAAAGCTCATTTAGCCTGAGCCCAGCCCAGGGAGAATTTTCTGTGAAATTTAGGAGAAGTCAGGTTTGGCCAGAAGTTTTTCCAGGAATTACGAACCTCTGGAGACTGTAACCACTGTTCCTTCCGAGCGACCCTTGCCAAAGTCTATAAAATACGAGCCTCAAAAAATCTGCCTGAGGAGAAGTCTGACTTTTTATATGTTATTTACACAAAAATAAACTCTCACCGAACTTTTCGGGAAAGCCCGATTAAAAGTGGTAGGGCAACCCCTTCCCCGGCCCCCAGGTGTTCAAGAAAAGCACCCCTTTCCCTGGGAAGGTGTCTGGGAGGGGGGCGAGCGTCAGCTTTTATTTCCCCCTCACGCTCTCTCTGGCATTTTTGTTTTCCTCCGTTGGGTCTCCCTGCCCTGAAAGGGAGCGGCGGCCTGTCTCAGGGAGAGGGTTAAGCATTTCATGGCGGGGTAAGATGGGGAGAGCTACCGAGCTTTGCCGGGTACTGCGTGTTGGCTACTGTGCTGGATGATTTATTTGCGTTATTTCCTCATTGAGATCTCAATAGCCCTGTGTGAGAGAGATTATGAGTCTTTTTTTTTTTTTAATATCAGGAAACCAAGGCACAGAAACACTTGGGGATTTGCCAAGGACACACAACTCGAGTCTATTCCGTCGCTGGGTCTGTGCTCGGGGTGGCTGGCTTCCTGCAATGCCTCCTTCTCCCCTCCCCTGGGAGAGAAAAAAAGGGACCAAAAGCCCAGAACACTGCCAGTGGCTCCTGTCACTTCTGACAAGCTCCCCTGGGGGATGCTGCCTTGGCCTCAGCCCCTCTCCCCCAAAGCCTGTGCTCTTTCTAGAATATGACTCTGTCCCAAAGGTCCAAGCACTCACTCTCAGCCCTGTCCTTCCCCAGAGCCCCTCATCGTTACTCCAGTCATCATGTGTCCTCCTCCTGTTCTGGGACCAGACCCGTTTACCTCTGGCAAGAAGGAGCCATAATGGCAATCAGCCATTTCTAAGCTGTAACCATACCCCAGACCTCGTCCCCCAAACTCACAACACTGAGATGCTACTCCTGCACCGTGGACCCCATGACCCTGGATTCTGGGGCCCTGCACAAGGCAGGCATCAGGGGAACTTGGTATAGCGCAGGCTGGGGCAGTTGGGGGTGCCAGCCTGAGCCCCACCCAGAAGGGTGTTTGCAGCTTTACAACACTGCAGACTTACCCAGCGCAACAGGGCAGACGACACGATCCTCTGACACTGCCCATCTGCCCATCGGTGCAAGAAAGAATTCAAGGTGGTTTTCACTGAGGCAAAGTCAGATACAGGCAACACTGGGGGAGCCCAGGGCTTCTAGAAAGGGACAAAGGAAGGGGAGTGATTAACAGTTGGCTAGTTTTATCAATTCTAGAAAAATGCAAAGCATTCCCTTTAACTCGGAAAAACATGTCAATGAAGCATCCCAATTCCAGGGTCAGGACTTTTGAACACAGTGTTTTGGGGGGCACATCTAACTTTGGGCTCTCCAGCAGGGATATTTCAAGTCTGCTCTTTAAGGCCGGAGAGAAGCTGGCTGAAAAGGCATGGCCAGGCGAAGCGTAAGAAGCAGGGAGCCTGCTGAGGAACAGGTAGCCCCGAGGGGATGAGGTGCGCCTAGCAGGGAAACGGCAGTGGGGAGGGGCTGAGGCTGGCGAGTTCCAAGCCAGACCCTAAAGGGTCTTCCATGCCAGGATAAGGCCTTACTTTTTGGACCCCATCCTGGAAGCTCCAGGAAGTCAGATGGAGGCTTTAAAGCAAGACAGTAACAAGGTCAAAACGCCATGTTAGAAAGATCACTCAATGAAAATAAACTTTTGCAAACAATTTAACCCACCACCCCATCTCTAAGAAGCTGGGGAAAAGGAACAGTCGAGGATGTGTTTACAGATTTAGCTGCAAGAATGCTCACTGCAGTGTCGCTGGTAACAAAAAAAAAAGGGAAACAGCTTAGATCTTTTTTATCGGGCATCAGTTGAGCAGAATCTATTAATTAAAACCTCGATTTGTGACACGCTTCCTCACTGATCTGCATAGGGACCATTTTTATTTTATGTATTCTTTTTTAAAAAATAATTTAATGAACACCTATGAATCTGTGACCCACCCTGACGGCTAGGACTGTGACCAAAGCTTCTATCTGCACATTCTCCTCCCCCAGAGCTGAGATTTTCAACAGCAGAAAACAGTGCAATCAACAATGGTGCATACATACCATGGAATATTAAACAGCTCTTAAAAGGAATGAACAAGCTGAGACCTATTGTCTTCTAATGGACCTCAGTATTTTGTGCAGAACTGGATTAATCATGATCTTTTGTTCATAAACACTGTCTCATCATTGGTCCAGAAAGGCCCCCTTTTATTTTGCTAATTTATGCACTCATATATTCATTTATAATAATGTCATAAACACTCGTGAGCCCACTCCCCAAACCTATATCTCAGCAATTACTTACACCTGCCGCCACAGTTCACCCCCACCAGGGTAAAGGACCTGAGGCTTTCATGCCAGCAGCAAGGTGGTTAAATAAACTCTGGTGTGTACAGCTCATAGGATACTGAGGTGTTGTTATAAGGAATAGTGTTGATCTTTATTATCTCTAAGCAGACTCTTGAAGGAAGAAACACAAGCTGCTGCGAGAGGAAATGTACACTATGATATAGTTTATGTAAAAAATAAAGTCATAGATTTTAGAGGTATATTTATCGACATATGCAAATGCACAGAAAAAATATCTGGAACCAGATGCCTGAAACTGAGAAGAGCAGTTAATTTGCTGGGGGGTGGTAGGGAGGGATGGAGGGAGGCATTAAAGATGGCTTCATCTGCAGTCGTTGATTTTTACTAATGCATGTATTAATTATCAATCCATTTCTTGCATAATTAGAATAAACATTTTATGGGGGGGGATTTAATTTGTTTGTTCGCTTGTGGGTTGTTTTTGTTTTCGTTTCTGTTTTTACAAATACAAAGCAAAGGGCATGCTTGCTGACGGATTGGGAGTGGGTACATATGTCCAGAGCAAGTTCTGCAGACACAGGGGATTTACTTTATCACAAATGTCTTTTTTTAAAAATATCTATATGCTCTCACTGGAGCCCCAAGCCTCCAAGCAGCCTGTCACTGACATGGGGCCAGCAGGTGTGTGCCCAAGGCTGTGATTTCACCACCCACAGTCCCAAATCCCTGCCAAGCTGCCCAGCACCCATGGGGGAGCGCTTTACTTTTTGGTCTTTAAGAGGACCCGAAAGCCAATGCCCTGGCCGGTGTTGATTTGCCGAGTGGAATGAGACCTCGGGGGAATGTGACATGAGATAGGGCCAGGCGGTAGGGACACAGGCCTCTAGAGAGCTGCGGCCTGGCGGCTCGCATTCACAGTCGAGCAGGCTTGCTGGTAAGAAGCTGGGGCCTCACCGCTCCCCTTGACAGCTTGATTTCTGTGCAAAACACACCCATGTTTCCTCCCGACTTTAACCCAGAGGGACTGTGGCTAAACGGCACTGGCATTTCTAACTGTCAGCTGCAGGAGAACGGGAAGGAACCTTGCCCACCCTAGCCCACCCCCACATCCAGGGGAGGCACCCTGACTCCCATCAGAAGCCCCTCTGTCCCCAGCTCCTGCTTGCACACTAAGCTTCAGGCCCCTTGCAGCCATCATAGGCTCTCAGAGTCCTCAAACAGGCACAGGTTTACACGTGCGACAAGGATGTGACAAGCATACTCCCATCTACATAGAAAGGCACTGAGGCTCCCAGACACCAAGAAGACAAAACTAAGCCCACTTTACACCCAGTCAGTTGACACCCTCGTCCTGCTCAGTCTTCATCCGCACAGATCAGTAATTGGTTAATTGGTTAAATGTCTCCCGTCTCACTGAGCTAATGCAGACAGAGGCCTCTGAGTACTTCTTTCCCCTCTGCCAGGCAGAGACCTATTTTCAACCATTACTTTGTGCAGAAGAAATCTGAGACAGGTTAAGCAGCCGTCAGCCCGCATGCCTCGCTCTTAATCACCTTTCCTGCATGTGAGGCTCCACTATTTAGTACATAGCATTTTATTTTAGACTGGGTTTGGTTCCTGTGAAAACCTTGAAAACCTTGAGGTGATTGCCATAGTTTTGTAAATATAATGTTTTTTTATTTTTTATTTTTTTGAGACGGAGTCTTGCTCTGTCACCCAGGCTGCAGTGCAGTGGTGTGATCTCGGCTCAATGCAACCTCTGCCTCCCAGGTTCAAGCTATTCTCATGCCTCAGTCTCCTGAGTAGCTGGAACTATAGACATGCGCCACCACGCCCAGCTAATTTTTTGTATTTTTGTAGAGACGGGGTCTCGCCATGTTGGCCAGGCTAGTCTCAAACTCCTGACCTCAGGTGATCCACTCGCCTCGGCCTCCCAAAGTCCTGGGATTATAAGCGTGAGCCACCACACCCAGCAAATATGAAATATTTTTATGGTAAATAAAAATGCAGTGCCCAGACTGAGGTGACCTGCATGCAACCTGCAGGCTGGGGTAGCCCCAATTGGAGATACTCCACTTCTCTCAAAGTCCACATGAACCCAGCCAATGCCAATGAACGATATGCCATTGCCTCAAGAATATGCCCTCTGCAACCTCACGTCGCCCTTCCCCTCCACCCCAACCCGGCTCCCCACATCTTCCCTTTGGGTTCCAAAAAATGAGAAGGGCTTGCAAAAGGGCCATTTGGGGGCAGATCCACCTAAAATAGGTGCCTTTTCTACATGTGTTGAGCATCTACTATGTGCCAAGCATTTTCTGTTTTATTTCCTTTAAGGTATCGATCAAGGCAACTCTTCAAAGTTGCATCCCCATCCCATGTAAGACAGGGAGGATGATTTATAGCCACATGTCCACAATGATCCATCTCCCCTAAGCAGAGCCTGCCCTATCTGACCCCCACAGTAATCCATCTCCCCTAAGCAGACCCTGGCCTCTCTGACCTCCAGGGAGACCCCCTGAGCCCCGTCCCAGATGCCCCCATGCACATCTGTGTATCATGGTGATAAACTTTAACACCACCCTTGGTTTCACATAGCAGACAAACAAGAGTAACAGGGTTATTGGGTTTTTGGATAATATACTGTGTTAAGGTTATATGACCCTGACTCCTCTCAGACCCCATCTCCCAGTAGGGACTATCGGATGGAAGAAAGAAGAGCACACATACCTGGCAGGGCACCAAGTGAGTCTGGAAGGCTGGTCTTCTTCAAAGTCAGACTAACAGGGCCCCTCACGCCTCCAAGCCAGGTGCCATCCTGGGGGCAGCAAGACTGGGCCATGCCCTGGCCTCAGAAACCCCCGGACCCACTGCCCACTGGGGGCAGTGAGCCTCAGCTGCAGAATGAAGGGCTTGAGTTAGTTCCATTCTAAAGAATCTACAAATCTGCAAATTGTTGAAATTTACACATTAGGACAAGCAATATAGTTTTTCAGACCTTTTGATTTGGTCCTGGGCCAGGCATCTGCTCCCTTCCCAGGAGAAAGCAGCCATCTCCCCTTCACACCACCTGCGAGGGCGAGAAGAGAAACTTGTCACTCGTTGGCATGGCCAAATGGCATCTTGCCTCTCTGAGCCATTGCCCCAGGCCTCACCTGCTGCCAGCAGCCCTACTGTGTTCCGAGGGAAGGATGGGACAAAGGAATCACCAGTGCAGATTAACATGAGGGAGCAGGACAAAAACCCCATGGGGTCGCAGTGTATGGGGACCCAAGGTGGAAAGGATGGCCAGCCTGGGACGCAGCCACGTAGAATGGCGCATGCAGGTGGCAGGGTCAGGAGGAAGAAGTTGCAGCTCCGGAAGCTAAATTAAGATTTACTCAGAGTCCAACAGAGGCCGGGGTCCAGACTCACATACACATTTTTTTTCTTTTTTTTCTTTTTTTTTGTTTTGTTTTTGAGACGGAGTTTTACTCTGTTGCCCAGACTGGAGCCCAGTGGCATGATCTCAGCTCACTGCAGCCACCATCTCTCAGATTCAAGTAATTATCCTACCTCAGCCTCCCAAGTAGCTGGGATTACAGGCGCATGCCACCACGCCCAGCTAATTTTTGTATTTTTAGTAGAAACAAGGTTTCACCGTGTCAGCCAGGCTGGTCTCGAACTCCTGACCTCAAATGATTTGCCTGCCTCGGCCACTCAATGCGCTGTATTACAGGTGTGAGCCACCCCACCTAGCCAGACTCACATAAACTTTTCTATCCATTTGCTAGAGAGCAAACTGGGCGTCCACCAAGGGCAGGAGGCTTCCAGGAGCTGAAGATCAAGGCTTCAGGGCCATGGCCAGCGAGGATGCCAGTGAGGCTGATGCTCTGGCTGGACTTAGTCCTTGCCCAGTCCAGGTTATTAAAGTTAGCATGGGCCCAGGTGGGTGGATGTATGTCCCAGGGCCTCTGATTCCTCTTCTGAAAAATGGGGATTATAAAAGGAAGGCCCTCACAGCTTCTTAGAAGGATTGAAAGAGTGAAAACCTGTAAAATGCTGAAAGCAGCGCTTGGCACATAGTAAGCACTCAGGAAGCATCACGGAGGTCCCCAACGTAGCCACATGGAAAAAAGCAGCTCATAACAGAAAGGCACACAAGCAGAGCAGGCGGGAAGACTGTGTGTGTGCACTGAGGTTGCTACTGTAGAAAATGTATGCATGTCAAAAAGACTGGACTTTCATAATTAAAGAAACAAATGTATTCAATAACTTTTTAGCGAGCAGCAAGGATCGAGTGGCACAGGACGGGAGGAGATCCACTTGAACACTTGCAGCCCACATCAAGGTAAGATGTGGGGCAGAGGTCCCATGTTGACCTCCCCCACGGATCGGGTGGGCGGGCAGGGCAGGTGGGGCAGTGAATGGGTTGGGCTGGCACTCAAGACAAGGGTTAAAGGGTTCGTTTGTCTGTAAGCAAAAAACATGACATGGTGGTGAGTACTCAAGGCCTCTATTCAAATACTTGAGCAGCTATAATTAGCAGGTCCTGGGCCAGCTGTCCTGTCCCTCCTCCAACACCAAATAAGCTAGAATGAGTTGGGAATGACAGCAAGCACCTTTGGGGGAGATGGAGGCAGACAGCGAGACCCCCACTCTTGTGGTCTGGGTGCCCCCCAGGCCGCGAGGCTGGCAGTATCAACACCATGGAATGAAGATGGCATATCTGGCCCTGAAGGTCCCGACAGGTCCCCAAATGGCAACTGCCAAACCCACCCTGGGCATCTGCTCCTGCCCTCACCGTCTACCAGGGGAGAAAGGAGAAACCTGGCTTTAAACCCTGCCTCTGTCCCTCCGGGACGTTGTGCCAGCACCTCGCCCTCCGAATCCCAGTTTAACTCTGTAAGACAGCGGCACATCCCCCAACTCATTAGGAGCAAAGTCAGTTTTAGGGGTGAGTGGCTAGAATCATGCCTGACACAGAGCAGGTACTCAGAGACTCATTAGAATGTATCTAACCATCCCTTTCTGGGTCACATTCCGTCTTCCGCACGTACCCCTCACCAACTCCAGTCATCAGCCTGCCCCTCCCGGGGAAGGTCCTGTGCCCTGGGTCCATGCACTGTTGTCGCTGATAATTATGGCTCCAGAGCAGCCACTTCACCCCGCTGGACTCTAGTTTACTCACTCTCCAAGCAGGGCATCGTCCCCTTGTGGGGTTAATGGGAAAATTAAACTTGACACCGTGCATGAAATGCTGTCCAAATCTTTACCGTTCCGATTACAGTGAGTGTTCTGGAAGTAATAATTGTAAGAATTCTAATGACAGTAGCTATCCCTGACTTGTCTGTAGCATTTACAGTTTACAAAGAGCTTCACACACCCGTCTTCCCTGGGAAGGAGGTGCTCCTACCTTTCTGCAAGTTGAGAAACTGAGGTTCTGCCAGGTTAGCCAGCCTCTCATCTGCCTCCTGCCCTCATTCTAGTTCCACCAGGCCCCGAGGTGGGGCCCTCCCTGTTTGCCTTGAAGTCTTCACCTTCCTACTCTAAGAACAGCCACACTCTTAGGCCTGCAGCCACCTGGGCTCCTCCATGCAGCCCACTGGGCGAGAGTAGATTGGCGAGAGTAGAGAGCAGGTTCTCTCTATTCTCGCCCAGAGTAGAGAGACAAGCAGGTTCCACTCTTACACCCCTCCCAACCCAGGATGGAAAATCAAGACAAGCCATTAGAAGAGACCACATGGTCTGTGCTTTCAACCATTGCTCAGATCTGGCAACCTCCGTTTCAATGAAACAATATGATGACCCCAATTTATAGGAGCAGCTGGTGGAACTAAGGCAGCGATGGGTGTCCCTGAGCTCCACCTGTTGGGCCAGCCACCTTCTCTCATTACTGTTTCCCAGGGCCCCCCACAGGCACCTCTCAGGAACCCCAGAGCTACAGAAGCACAGTGAGAAGACCACTGCTCAAAGCCTCCCTGCAGACATGGGGAAACTGAGGACCTGGGAGAGGAAGGTCACGTTGACAGTCAGTGCCCATCTAGGCTAGGAGGCTGGTGCAGGCCTGTCCCTGCCCACTTGCCTTGAAAGGCAAGATCAGCCTCAGGAGCAGCTGATTGGCCCCGCTGATTTGGGCAAGACAAGGACAAGCTCACCCGTTACCCCTCGCACAGCCCCTCCCGCAGGCGGCACACGCCCCTTCCCAGGGTTATTCTGGGCAGAGTGATCCAGCTGCCCCCTGGAGCTGCCAGTCAAGCGTGGAGGGGGCAGGGACACAGCAGCAGGAGTGCTGCTGGGCCCAGGCACTGCCTGTCACCTCAGTGGCTTAGCAAGGTGAGGGGCTGGGGGTCCCTCTACAGAAGACCCCTAGCCTGCTGGGTGGTTTGGGATTTAGACACACCCTGGGGACAGCCTAGTTCTACTGTAACTCCCTGTTCCTCCTTCCAAAGACTCAGTTTCCCCATCACTACGATGAAGTCCGAGGCCCATGGGGCCTGGCATTCAAGGACCTTGGTCCAGACCATAGGGGAAGAGAGGGAATGTCCGAGACTGGGCTGCCCTGGGCCGAGATGCCAGCGGCATCCCACCCTGTAAGGCTCAAGTCGTCTGTAGCCACAGTTAGGGCTGCGCAAGACTGAAGGGTCCCAGGGGGAAGGACTCCAATGTAAGCTATGCCAGGCCAGCAGCCCCGGCAGACTCCACAATCCACTGGGACCCCCGGGACCCAACCCAAGCTCCTCATGAGGCCCTCAGGAAGCTCCCAGGAATCTCACCAGCCTCCTCACCCACTCCCACCGAATGAGCCATCCTTGACGCTTGTTCATACCAGGGAAACCAGGAAGGCTTCCAAGCCTTAAGCTGCCATGGACACATTTTAACCTTGACACGAGTTCAAGAAAATAAATAATAATAATCAATCAATAACAACAAACCCTCCCAGGATCCTTGCACGCCCACCCTCACTATGGCGCTACGCCTGCCATCCACAGGAAGCCAGAGCAGGCCAGGCAGCAGAGGGAGCTGCTGGAGGTATTCATTTTGAGGCCACTTCACCCCTAAGACCCAGTAGCTATGATCCTCAAACCCAAGGAGCTCTGAGCACCACCTACACAGAGGCCAAGATGGACAGGGACCTTCACCTGACACCCACCCTGGCCGTCCAGAGAGCCAGGGGCCCCAGGTGTGACTGGGCTAATTTCTGGTGGCTAGGAGAGGGGTCATGGCCAGCATTCCAGAGAACCCATATCTCCCTTACTCCCCTTTCCATCCTCACAGCCTCCCCGCTCCTCACCAGCTTCATCTTCCTCCTCAGGCCCCCAGCCTCCCACCCTCCTCCCCTGTCCTCACCGCTCCCCTAATTCCTCCACCCCGGCCCCCCGCCCCAGGCTCAGCTCTGCTCCTAAATATCCTCTCATCTCCTCTTCCAAGCTCTATTTTTAAAATCAGATTTCCTTTACTGTACAGGCGAGCTGACAGAGAGAGGTATTTGCTGAGGGATTTGTCCCCCCCATGGCCCCCCCACACCCAACCCTTCATAGACACACGTTGGCAGCCCTGACCCAATGGGCCACTGGCTCAGAGGCAAGCAAGGAGCTGACCCGACCGAGGCTCTGGGCACTGAAGTTGGTGAGGTTGGGGCGTCTGTCTCTGAGTGTTGGGGGGGAAGAGGGTCCCACTCAAAGACCTCAAAGGCAATTCTGACCCCAAACCAGGTGCATTATATGCTGGGCTTCTTTTTTTTTTTTTTTTTTTTTTTTTTAAATAAGGTGGGAATTTTCAAATCAATAGATATTTCTTAAAAAGTTGTCATGAGATTTGAGAACAACACGTATTGAGCCACATTTGAAGGACTGAGAATATGATTTCTGCAAAGCCCAGAGAAGAGGTAGGGCCCAGGCTTTGGCAGGCCGGCTGGTAGGCAGTTGAAGCCAGATGGGAATCCCAGAGTGCCCATCTAAAGCCAGAAATTGGAGGCCCGACAGACCCTGACAATGCCCAAAGCCCTCCCAGAGAGGCAGATGCTGAGCAGGTGTGGAGGGAATCCCCTCACCCTGCTTCCAAGGCCCCTCACTCACCTCCAGGGGAGTATTCGTCTCCAGGACATGAGCCACTTCTCCTTCCTAGTGATGACCTGCAGGGTGGGTCTGCCTCCATTTCCCTCCATCGGGTATCAAGCACCATGCCTGGCCCAGAAAAAGAATCAGGACATGCTGCTGTATGAATTAATTAATTATGGGCAGAAGGACTCGGTTAAAAAAAAAACAAAGAAACGAAACATTTGGGGACAATAAAATCGAAATGCGTTTGGAGGTTGGAGAATGGGAAACTCAGTCTTGTCAGAGAGAAGCATGAGGAACAGGAAATGGAAGCCGGAAAGGGTAGATGGTGAAAAGGTCTGGTTTCATGCGAAAAGAACTTCAGCTTTATAGTTTAAGTAAAGAAGAGCAATCTAAAGATTTTCAGCGTAACAAATACTTGGTCCAATTTTCATTTCATGCTCAGGCATTTAGATTTTATGTTGAGGACATGAAATTTGACAGGTTGGAAGCTACGAGTGCCATGATTAAAAGTGGGTGCCTTGCTAAGATGGTGAGGCTTTTTGTCGTGATGAAAACACGTTAAGATTTTAAGCAAGAGTTTCATAATTTGAGTTTCCTGGGAAGAAATCTGGACTTTGTTTTGAGGGATGACAGGATCAAAGTTTTATATCATGCTGAGGAGTCTGGATTTTTGCCAAAGGGTTTTAAGAAATGTGATGATGAGATTCTTGCTTGTGGGAGATAAGTATGCAGAAAAACATGATAAAATATATTTTACGCGTAACTGCTTTGGGATTCACGTTACAAGCAACAAGGAAACGCTGGAAATTGTAAAAGAAAAGTAACGGCCACCAATTTAACAATCATGTGCAAACATTTTGACTTTCAGTCTTGGGGGAGTGCCAGTTTCAACCTGCAGAGCTTGCCTAGGAGGTGTGATTAATGTTGACACCAAAATTGAAAGATTTTAATCAGAGAAGTTAAATGATCAATATTGCGAATATGAAAAGAAATTTGGAATTTATTTTGAGGCTCCAACATGATTAGATTTTTGCACACGCCTAGGAATTTGATTTAGCCAATAAATCTTTCTAACAGAGTGGCCTGGTGAGTTTTTTGTGTTTGATAAATAGTATGCAGTGAATTCCAAAATAAAATTCACATTTTATGCTAAGAATTTTGACTTTTCTTCCATTTACAATTAAGAGACACTGTAAGATTTTAAAAAGGAGTTATAAGATCAAATTTTATATATTGTCCTAGGAAGTGTGAATTATTTTAAGGGATGACATGATCAAATTTTTATATCATGTTAATAATTTTGGATTTAATCCAATAAAGGGCTTAAAGCAGTAACAGGATGAGATTTGGGGTTTTTTAATAGACCATCCTGAGAGAAATTACATGGTAAAATGTTGCATTTTGCATTAAGTAGTTGGGACTTTATGTTACAGGCAATGAAGAAACTTCGAGAAGTTTTAAGTTGAGAAGTTACATGCTCAAACAAGTACATTTTGGCACAGCTAAAAGACAGGATCTCTATGATAAAGATGATAGGATCAGATTTTGCTCCTATGCTAAGGAGATGTGATTTTACATGAGAGTTGAAAGCATTCAAGTGTTGTATTTGGAAAGGGTGGGGGATGAGCTCATTGAGCTCATTGTTGAAACCTTGTGCAGAGGCGTTTGGATGTCAGCCAGTAAAGAGTTTTAAGGAGTAAATTGATGAGAGTTTTGTCTCCAGAGGAATTGGATTGTAAACATATTTTAAGTTAAGGTGTCTGGATTTGATGAACCAGATAATGAATAAGCACGGGAACACTCCTAAGCAGAGACGTCCCCGAGGCACGAGGGCACCCAGGCTGGACTCCATGCTGAGGAGACAGGTCATTTATAGACAGAGCATGTTTTTATAAAAAGAAGTTATATGATTAAATTTACATAGCATGCTAAGAAGTTTGGACACTATTTTAAGGGATGACAGGATTACATTTTTATGCCATGCTAAGGAATCTGGACTTCAGCCATTAAGAGAATTTTTTTATTTATTTATTTATTTTTTTTTTTGAGAGGGAGTCTCCCTCTGTTGCCCAGGCCGGAGTGCAGTGGCACAATCTCGGCTGACTGCAACCTCCCAGGTTCAAGTGATTCTCCCACCTCAGCCTCCAAGTAGCTAGGATTACAGGCATGAGCCACTACTCCCAGCTAATTTTAGTATTTTTAGTAGAGACGGGATTTTACTACGTTGGCCAGGCTGGCCTTGAACCCCTGACCTCGAGTGATTCACCTGTCTTGGCCTCCCAAAGTGCTGGGATTACAGCTGTGACCCACTGCACGTGGCCCATTAAGAGATTTTTAAGGCAGTAACATGGCAGAAATTTTGTCTTGGGTAGTCAGAAAAATTTTATAGTAAAATGTATTGTTCTATGCTAAAAATAATTAGACCTTATCTCATAGGTAATTAAGAGATAGAATAAAGCTTTAAGCAGAAGTTATAAGAGCAAATTTGTGTATCTTGCAAGGGAGTGTGACCTTTTTATTTTGAGGAATGACATGATCAGAATTTTATATCATGTGAAGAGGTTTGGAATTAAGCCAATAAAGGGTTTTAGGAGTGACCTGATAAGATTTGGGGGTTCGTATTAATCAGTTGGCAAGCAAATTACATAGTGAAAATTTTTATTTTATGCTAAGTGGTTGAAACTTTACAGGCAATAAAAATGAATTTTTGTATGTGTTAAATAGAGAAATTATGAGATGACCTTTATTCATCTTGCTAACAGTTTAAACTTTGATGTTAAGAAGTATTAAGATTTTTCTAACATGCCAAGGATATTAGATTTTGAGCTGAAGGCAGGAACATTGAAGGATTTAATCATTCACATGGTCGAATTTGTAAATATGTTGAGGAGTGAAGACTTTATATTAAGAGAGTGCATAATCTAGCTTTTAAATCATCTTGCTAAGAAATTTAAATTTTCACCAATAAAGAGTTTTAAGTGAGACATGCTGAGATTTTCATTCCTGATAGATGAGTCTGCAGATGAATTACTTAGTTACATTTTGTATTTCAATTAGAATTTGATATTAGAGGTTCGGAATTTTACAGTAATAATGCATACCTCAGAGGACTTTTTTGGAGAGGAAATGAGTTACGTTATGCAATGTGCTGTGTATATGTTGCTGCAGTGATGATGATGATGATCCTTATAATTCTTATACCATGCTAATTTGTATACTGTGCTTTAAAAAAATGTCATCTCTACCTTGAGGAATGACAAAGAATCTTATATTAAGGCCCTTCCATTTTAGCCAGAGAATACTTTTGGTGAGTTTACATGTCAGAACTGTTTATGCTAGAAGGTTTGGATTTAATGTTGCAGACAGTAAATAAACAGCGGGAGGCTTTAATCAGAGAGACTGCACGATCAAATTTAAGTGTCATGCTCACAAGGGTGTACTTAATTTTGAGAAACAGCAGATCTGAATTTTGTATCCTGTTGGAAAGCTTGGATTTTAGCCAATGAGTTTCACGTAAGGGGGAACGCGTGGCTTTTTTTTTACAGATGGGTCCAGTGGCTTAGAAGAAAACTGAGAAGTAACAAAAGGTGTTAAATGTATAAAGAGCAGTAACTTTACAGCTAATCTATCAGATAATCAAAGCTCAATTTGCTCTGCCCCAGCAGAGAAGAAATATGCAAATAACCCCAACCAAGACATTCTCTTTCAATTCTGTCTCAGCCCACTGAAATCACCCAACACTAGATTTCCAAAAATCCACTCTGGGACCGTCAGATTCCAAAGATGTCACAGGCTCCCCCCAACCGCCACATTCAATGTCCCAACTCTGCCAGATACATGTCTCTGTTGGGAGGGCCCAACCAGCAACAGAGAGCAAAAGATACTTGCTAGAATGAGGAGACCAGCCCTACTGGAGTGAAGAAGGGGACCTGGAAGGATAAGATTGGGGAGGCGTGCAGACATTCTTGCATTGGTGAAATTGAAGCCAGATGTGTGAAGTTCCAGAAGCCTCACAAAGAGGTCAGTCCTGGGAGAGTGGAGATTGTGGGAAGAGAAGGAGATTATTTGAAGATCTCCTCAACAGCTCAGAGCTCAGGAGAACATAGCATTGGAAGGAGACCAAATCAAGAAAGAGAAATTGGCCGCAAGTCTGAGTTGGAATCAAGTAACAAATATGCAATTATCTAGCATGTAATAGGTATGTTATAAACTTTATGGAAAAAAAAAAAGAACCCAGACCTGTACACACCCCCTAAAATTTCTATTTTGAACATGGAGAAGGAAATAAGAGCTATTTTGGGCTGCTGACCCAACTGATGGGACAGTGACCAAGTGCCCACTTTCTCCTCTTCCACTGTGCTGGTGAAACAGTAGGCATCTTTGCTAGAGATTCCCACCCCACAACCAAGGCAGTTGGGCTTGCTCCAGAGCCATGAGCCTGCCAGGGGTGGCTCTGGATGGTGCTGAGATGTGACCTCTGTAATTCTCAGGTGACCAAAGCAGGAAAAGAGGATTGACCAGGTGCATGTGCCAGGGTGAAATGTAGCAGCCTGTGCACACTGCTAGGTGCCCGCCTGCCACGGTGGCTGCTCCCAGCCGGTCACTCCACAGAGTTTATGGGCTCACATCTATGGAGGAAATGGACAGGACAGGCAGACTGAATAAGCCTGGGAAGCAGGTCAGGGGCTGACAGATCTTCCCTCCCTGGGGGCACCCCAAGTGACCAGCCAAGAGGCTGGCTTGGATAGAAGGCTTTCCCCCATTTCTCTCTGTTCTGATTAGTTGGGCATCTGATTTGTCCTTGAGACCTTCACACTGCCACCTCATGAGATCCTAAACTACTGCCTTTATCCCCCACTCCCCCTCTACCACCAGGTTCTGATCTCCACGGTCCCAGCTACTGACTGGACGCTGTCACAACCTTACCAATCTTCAGAATACACTCCTTTCCATCCGACGAAATGATAGAACCCTCTGAAGACTCATTTGAGACGATGATGGAGCATAAGAATCCATCATCAAAACAAATGGAGTCCTCCGAGGGCTCATCCAACACCACCGAGGCGACATCGGGCAGTGGAGTACAGGGAGAGGCAGGGCCAGCCAGC